ATGATCCCAAAAAAAGAGAGAGAAAAACGAGGCCTATGTGTCCCATGAAACTGAAACCAGGTTGGAGGTGAAAAACAAAACAAATGAGCAGTCAAACGTTGTTTGGCAGAGGTGCTCTTGCAGAAGAAACATTATGTAAGAAAGAACATTTTAGTCACCCTTGCATGAAAATCAGGCACAGCAATTAGGTGCTTGATTAGATTAAAAAGGTACCAATTCAGATCACAAGCAATATGCTGCCTGAGGAAGCCAAGTGCTAAAATGCCAGCACGTATTTTCACATGTTCTCATGCCTGGGGCTTTTTAAACACCATAAGAAGAAATCAATCAGCTCAAAAACATATCCATGGAAAGAGAACTGGAGCACAAATATGCTCCAAGACAGCCTCAAGTAGGCACAAACATTGTAAATCCATTATATACACAGTGTGAGACATCTCAGGCAGTGATTACAGGAATGATTCCTGTAGTGTCATTTGTGCATTATTTATCATTTTGGACCAAATTGCTACAGCCAAACTCAGTTTTTATTTTAAAAAAAAGATGTTTCCTTTATCTGTAATCAGTGAAATCCAAAAGTTGTGTAGTAGATACAGTGTTGCCTAGAGGATCATGTCCTGAGCCTTGAAATAGATGGATTTCTTTCTAGAATAATACAGTACTGGACTGTACCTGCCATAAATATGAATATCTGAAAATCCCACCTTCTTAAAAGAACATTAGAACCATCAAGAGTATTTCTGTGATTGACTCATACAGTTGATAGTTGTTACAAGTTATTGTCAGGTCTCTTTTCTACAACTCTGTCATGCATCTTTTATTGAAATTTTTCATTGAAATGCTTTGGAAGGGTCAGAGGAAAGGAAACAAGAACAAGAATAAACTAGTCATAATTCCATTGCATAATTAGTGGAATACCATAAAACCAGCATCAGCAATACCAATAGTCACCTTTGTGAAAAGCAGTAAAATTAATTGAAAGTACTTGTTAGCTTTACATCACATTGATTTTAGAATACCACTTTCTTTAATTTTACTCACTTGTCCAACAATTTCACTTCACAACAATTTCACTTCACGTATGAAATTGTTCTGTACTTTCTAAGTACTTTACTGCCTTAAGACATTCAAGTGCTAATATGTTCATCAACTCTATTTGCCAGACCACGTTTCTGAGAGAGAGAGGGAACAGCACCTGAGAGACTGGCGCTGTGCTCAGTAGCATCGGTGATTATGAACACCCTAACACTGGTGCACAATACAGTAGGAAGTTTAAAGTTTTCATAGAATAATATTGAAATATCATTCCTCAAGGTTCAAGGGTTGTGCTAGAAGTCATAATAAAAATATTGATTTAAATCTACTGGTTACATTTCTCTGAGATAAGCTTAAGAAATGCCTTCAGAGATTTTTTGTTCATAATCAAGATTAAACTGTTGTCAAACTATTTAAAGGTTAGTTAAGTGCTTGTATCAAAAAGCATAAGGTAAAGGTGACCTTAAAAATCTGTTTAATAAATGTAACCTTACATCTTTGTAATGTTTTTTAATAAGGTTTTAGACTAAGGTCATTGCAGATCCCTTTGTTTTGATTTTGTGTCTTGCTTCATTTTGGGTATATCAGCTGAGATGCATCCAGTTTACTGAAATATATTCTTCGTCTCCACTTCATCCTTAGTTTGATTTGTCATAATAAAATGTTCAGCAAGGAAGAGTTTCTTTTCGGTTCATCTCTAACTCCACAGGGATGCCAAGAAGTGACCAACTATTTCTATACATGAGGGTACTTTAGAAAACTGTGATCCATTAAGATTATTAAATATTTTTAACTTTTTTTTTGTGAAATCAAATGATTGCCACATTGACTTGAACATTAATTGTGCCTGAAAGTTTTTTTTTTGATAGGTATGATTTTTCACCTGGGGAAAGACACCATGCTTCTGCTGAGAGCACTAATATTCATGATATATGAAGACTGCTACTTTTAAGTAATAAATACCACAGTTCTGCAAGATAAAAATAACCTGTTGTGAATTGCTGAGTGGTCTCAGATTGTTCTGTCTTCTCCGATATCCAGAATGTTCAGCATTTTGGAGCAGCAAGTAGTTCTAGTTCACATAATACAAGTGTACTGCAATGCCTGCAAAACCCATAGGGGTCAGATGTTGTACAAGAGACCCAGTGCTTTTGATCAGGGCCCAAGGTCATAAGAGAATCACTGCCAAATTGTACTGCAGCCTGTTTGGGGGAAGAAAGATGTTACCTATGTATAATTCTGTAAGAAAACAAGTAAACACAACTCTTAACTTATCATTTCTGTATTTCCAGTAACAAAGAATATATGAAGAGTAAAACTAAGGGAAGTGACCATGGTTAATGAAGAGCACTTTCTGCACCCCTTGTTTAAGAAGAAGGAATTTGCTGAGCCTAATAGACAAAGAGTAATAATCAACAGAACTAATTCTAAGAAGTGCCAGGATCTTTGAACCATAGAAAGAATTGATGGACTTGACAAAAATGATATGAAACATTCCACACTCTGCTGTCATCTGTTGTTGCTTGCTCAACTGTGAAGAACTCTGTATTCAGGCTGCTTTCTACAATAATGCCAATCACCTTTTTTGGACTCTGAAGTGATATTTTCTTATCAGCTCTCTAGTAGTTTCATTTGCATGCATTCTGTAACTATGCACAAGCAAATTCTATTACCTATTTTACCTATTTAAAAATAAGCACAGTGGTGAATAAAATAAATTTCATTTTTCTGACCCACTCCATTCTAATTGCTTAGGTCCACACCAGTGGAAACTGGAACTGATGTTGTATGAGGGTTAGGGCAAATATCTGCTCATACCATATGAAAATGAGCTTCTAAAGATACTTTCACTGTTGGTAAAAAGGAGATAAAAATGTTATTTATAACAAGTCCTTATGTTGTGTACATATATTGTCCTTGAAATATTTTTGATTTTACTTTATTTCTTGTAAAAGAGAAATTCTATAATTTATTTAGAAAATACTAGTGTAAACTATAGTTTTATTGATGAATAAACGATTTTTTTCTGAAGACTATCACACCTGTCATCCTGCTGTTGATCCATACTAGACAAAATTGTTCTTGCATTTCTCTACCTTCGTGGGAAAATCTTAAGAGGCCTCCTGAGATATGACAAACATGGAATCTGTCTTTACCAGCTCTATTATGATAAGGGGAATCTTGAAATTAGAGCAGGAAAGCCAAAGGAACATACTCAATAGGCACTACTTTATAAAACCATTTCAGGTTTTATCAATATGGGAAGTTATTTTAGGGTAACTACAGAAACTGCTTTGGTTTTGAGCCTGTATCTCATGATTACCACTTTTCTAGGCTTTAAAATTGGACTGCTTAATCTCAGGAAGAAAATTATTCTGCAGCTCTGAGAAAAGTAAAACCAATCTTCATGTCCCATGAGTAAAACATTTTGTACATCTCTGCCAAGTGTCTGTTCCTTTATGCACAGTGTACAGAATATTTAGAATGTGTCTCTGTGCAGATACTTGTCATTAGTCTCATTTGGGGAAAAACATTTAGCACCCAATTAACCTTCATAAAGAACACACATGACAATTTTTCCCCAATTATCAATGTTCCCCAATTATCGAGTAACTATAGCATCTGAATCACTTGTTCTTAGGAAGAACCCAAAGGATTCACAACTTAACTGCAACAATTCTGTCCAAAACCAGAATGTCTGTACCAAACTATTCAGAGACTGAGACACAATCAGTCTTTTGTACCCAATCTCTTTGTCATGGGCAATTTAATTGCATATAACTCAAGAGTATTTTCCCAAACCCTTCCACTAGACAATGATACAAGAACAATCAGTAGCACACTCCCCCTGTTCTTCATAGAAGACATTTGCTGAAACATTTAATATTTGCTTTAAGTAAAAAAATCTATCAGCTCTTTCCAGACTGAATGTGTGGGGCATGACCCTACAGGGCTTCTGCATCTGCAACTCCTCCACAAGTATTTTACACCAGCATAAAAAGGTACTAATGCCAGTATTGTGATATGAACAACATCAATTGTTGTTCCTGTTGCTCCTAAGGGACAGGAATCAAGATTAAAAACACTTAAAAACTATTGTTAAAATTGCTAATCCGTAATTAGAGCCCTTTAGCAGTTGTGTACTGATCCTTGCTTGGTAGTAACATCCTGTAAAATTCACAAAGAAGCACACAGGAGTCTGTTGAAAACAGAAAAGAAGCCGGCTGAGTTAGGTACCAGTTTGATACACACAGCTTTTAGGTAAAAAAGTCTTCATAACTTCAGTTGAAATTTGCGCAAGGGGCTTGTTTGAGCTTTTTTGCCTTGTGTAGAGTAAAATAATTAATTTTGGCTTATAGAAAAGTATTATAAAATTACAGATCTTGGTGAGAAACTTGATAACTAATTCCCTAATGTGGTGGAAGATCACAGAATCAATAGAACAATTTGGATTGGAAGGGACCTTTCAAGACCACCTCATCCAGCCCCTCTGCCATGAGCAGGGACATCTTCAACTAGATCAGGTGGCTCAGAGCAACTAACTGCTTACTTTAATTAAGAGTTTTTGAAATATAAAAATGCATCACACAGTAACCAGCGGTAGGCTTCTGAAGCTTTTGGTCCTGTCCAGTGGAAGGCTCTGAAGTGAAACCTGTCAGTGTTCCTATAGAAACTGTGTAGGTTTTTGAAGAAACCTTTTTTATAGAAATTATTTCTTACCTCTCATCTATTTGGCGAACCTAGTTTATTTATTTCACTTTAAGCAACAATACGACATGTCTGGCTGAGACTCTACATCTTCACATACTGTTGATAGTATGGCATCATCAGCATTTATGTAACTTAGTGGAAAATGTCAGGTGTGATAAATTATGTGCTTTATTTTCCCTTCATCGGCTCAGCGAGACATTTTGCCTGCAGGATGTAGAACAGAACACTTCCTGTCACAGAAAATAGTCCTCGAACGGGTCCCTGAGTGAATGCTTGTGCGTAGTGTGGCTTCTAATTGCTATTTTACCCCAGGGGCCAGCTCCTTGTAAATCTCCGCAGCGCGGCCGCTGTGCGTGAGCAGATGCCCGCAGACACTGGCCCAGAGCGCTCACTGCCTGCTCTGAGAGCAGCGGCGAGCCGGAGGCGCTCAGCGGGGGCAGGCCGCTCCTTGTCTCTGACACGTCGGGGTCCAGATCTCGCCGAGGGGAGCCTGAGCAGCACACCGGGCCCGGCACCCGTTTCCTAGGGACAGGAAACGGGTCCCTAGGCCGTGCTAGAGACGAGGGAAAGACACCGGTATAAGGCTGGCGGGGAAAGCCCCGCCGCCTCGAAAGCCTTGCGAGGCGGACAGACCGTGTTCGGCTCCGATACACCTGTGCTGTCTCGGTAGCGAAAGCGCTTGGCTTTGATTTATCCTGGCGCTGCTGAGGCTGGAGACAGCAGTGGCTGGGAGGAAGGGAAAACCCGCACACTCTCCCTCTGCTCGGCGCTGCCGTGCGGCCGAACGCGCCCTC